TTGATGTGGCAGGGGCCCAAGGAACCCAATGGTCTGATCGTGCTGTATGAAGTGAGTTATCGGCGATACGGCGACGAGGTAAGCTCCTCAATGCTTGGGCTCATGTCTTCTGAGCTGTCCTTGGTACCCCTCCTTCTTCTGCTCAAATTCCGGCTCACATGCGTCTCCCACCAGTTGCTGTGTTGCCAGTTCTCAAAACCTCTACACGTGGCTTTCTAGGTCAGAAATGCCAACCTATGAATGTCCCTTTCTTTTTTTATTTTTGCCAAAGAGCACATATGCTCACCAGAGAGAGAGAGACAGAGAGAGAGAGACGGAGAGAGGGAGGGGAGAAAGCACCCTCTCGATGGGGTCTGGTCATGCTGCAATCCCTTCTCCTCCATTTCTCCATCATGTCGGGATTTGGGGCACACCTGTACACGTACCTGGTGTGTTTTTCAAGCCACCAGGGATGAGATGGACACTTGGCAGTCAGCCATGTGGGGTCTGACTTTGTAAACCACTAGGCCATCGGTTTGTCCCCTTTTACTTCTTGGCTCAGTTTCTCATGTGGATTTTCAGGTGCGTCTTCTAAGCTGGATAATGGCTACCTGCACTTGTGTCCCTCCTGACGTGACACGAGACTTACTTTGCTTTAAAAATAAGAGAACTAGGGCCAGCCCGTAGCCTGATGGTTAACAGAGATGGATCCCACATGGCTGACCGTGGTTTGAATCCCAGCCTGCTGGCTTGGAAAACGTGCTGGGTGCGTGTGCGTGCCTGCCCCAGATCCCAACCCAATGGAGAAATGGAGACAGGGTTGTGGCATGACCACCCCTCGGGGGGGGGGTGTGCTTTCTCCCTCTTCCTCTCTTCCTCTCTCTCTCTCTCTCTCTTTCTCTGGTAAGTTCACATGCCTTCTGACTCGCTTTCTCTCCTGCAAGTGTATATGCTCTCTGGCAATTAAAAAAACACTCAAAAAATTTTATTTTTGGTATATATAACGTATGTTGTTAGAGTATAATTTTACCACATTTACAGAATTCCAGCATTTGATGGGTTGTTGTTGTTGTTGTGTGTGTGTGTGTGTGTGTGTGTGTGTAATTTATTTATTGCTAGTTTCATAGACAAAATCAGCATTAGCTGGAGGGCCTTTGCTGTGCAGCATCTTTAACCTTGTGTAACTTGTCCCCTTACTGCCTTCCCTTCCTCACCGGTGGGTACTCTGTCTCTAGAGATCATGCCTTTCCTGGAAAGGGCATCATGTTCTTTTTTTTTTTCCCAAGAATGATCTATTTTGCGGGACCAGCAGTTAGCGTAATGGCTATGTCGCTGGCCTCCCACGTAGTCGACTGCAGTTTGAGTCCTGGACCCGGTGGCTTAAACTCATGCCGGGCGCGTGTGCGTGCGTGCCCAAGATCCCAAGAGGAGAAGGGATTGCGGTGTGGCCATCCTCCCTGGAGGGTGATTTCTTGCTTTCTGTCTGTCTGTCTCTGTCTGTCTGGCGAGCGCATGCGCCCTATAGCAAAAACCTCTCAAAAAAAAAAAAAAGATGAATGATCTATTTTGGGACTGGTAGATGGTGTAATGGTTACATCATTGGGCTCCAATGTAGTTGATTGTGGTTCGAGTCCCAGACCCAGCAACTTAAATTCATGTCGGGCGTGTGTGTGTGTGTGTGTGTGTGTGTGTGTGTGTCCAAAATCCTGAGAGGAGAATGGAGAGAAAGGATTGGGATTATGGTGTGGCCATCCTCCCTAGGGGGGTGATTTCCCACTTTCTGTCCTACACATGCCCTATAGCAAAAAAAAACTCTCTAAAAAAATAAAATAATGTTTATATAATTTTACTTATTATTATTTTAATTCACCAGAGAGAGAGAGAGAGAGAGAGAGAGAGAGAGAGAGAGAGAGAGAGAGAGAGAAAGTGAGAAAGCAAGCTGCCAGGTCCGGGGCTTGAGTCATGGTTGGCCACGTGGGAGTCCAGTGCTCCAACCACCACGCCACCTGCCGGCATCCATTATTGTGTGTTCCTGTCCTTTGTCTCAGTATCTTTTGGAGTTGTTTTTTGTTTGTCCCCACCCCCCGCTCCTGTTTGCACACATTTTATGTAACTGAGCTTATTCACCCTTGAGCAGGTTTTGGCTCTTGTTTCATTGTTTTGGTTTTGTATTTTGGTGTCTCTAGAGAGAGCTTGACCAAGGTTCTAGATCCTTCCACCATGGTCCTTTTTCGCTCCCCTCTTCTCGAGGTATCAGGGTAAAAGACCAGCAGGAGAGGATGCCTTTCCCCTTGGCTGTGGGTCACGGCTACCTTTGGTTTCTGTATTTGCTTATCTGTGGAGCTCGGTGACTCATCCTGACTCGGAAGAACCTTTGGACTAGAACTCCCTGCTGCCGCCCCCGGCCAGGCCAGCTTGTTTCCTTGCTGTTATTGTCACACGGGAGCTTTGAACATGATTTCTTTTCCACACCCCGCCCCCTAAATTTTCCAGCCCAGTTCTCTGCATACACGACTAGCTGGGAACTGTTTTGGAAAATTTTCAGAGTTCTGGCCCAACACTGGCAGGTTTCATGGTCTTATTTCCCCACGAGACTCTCGTCTTTCCTAACGTCTGCATTCATCTCTAGTTAGAGACCTAGCACCGAGTGCCCCCCTTGCCAGATATTTGGATCCCAACTCTTTTTGTGATGATTTTTAAAAAATCAAAAGATAGCATTTTGGAATTAAGATAACTTTATTTTTAAAAAGATTTGTTTATCTCTCCTATGAGTGAGACAGAGAGAGAGAGAGAGAAAGAGAGAGAGGAGTACCCTTAACGGAATCTTTTTTGATGAGAGATTTGTTTTTACTATAGAGCACGTGTACTAGCTGGTGCAAAGAAGGCAACTGTAATAAAAACATGTATTTCAGGCCAGCAGGTGGCGTGGTGGTTAAGGCACTGGATTCCACATGGTGACGAGGTGGTTTGAGTCCCCGACCCAATGGCCTGAAAAACACCCTGAGGGATGATTTCTCACGTTTCCTCTCTCTCTCTCCCCCCTCCTCCTTTCTGTCTCTTCAGTGAGCACATGTACCCTATGGCAAAAATCTAAAAAAAAGAAAAAAGAAAAATATATCAAAATTGCTAAAACAATAGATTAAAAAAAACAACAAAAAACAAAACAAAGAACAAAAACAAAGCACACAAACTACATTTCTGAAAGAGAGAGAAAGACAATAGGGTCTTTGTGCTGCAGTCCTACCCCCAGCTTCAGCCAGCCAGGATCATGAGCCCGTGTATGTATGCCTGGCATGTGCAGGGAGGCCTCAGGACATGAATCTGGGACCTTTCCTAGGGCCTCAATATCATGGCGTGTTGGGATTCCTTGCCTCTGGCATGAGGCTAATAGTCCCTAAGCCTTGGGTTGAGGTGAGAATTAGGTTACGTGATCTGTGTTCTGTCTGAGGAAGTTAGGTGTTACCCACAATGATAACCTCTTCATAATGCCCTATGGTTCTAAAACTCCACAATTCTCAAAGTGTCCTCTGTGACATACTCTGTGCTTTACTGCCTCAGGGTCATCTCTGAGGGAGATCCTGGCTGTGACATCTTTGCCTGGTACAGATGCTCTGAGGTACCCAGAGCTCAGCCATATCCCTTCTTCCTTCCAGGAGCTGCATCTCTGTGTCTCCCGAAAGCATTATGCTCTGGAGCGAGGCTGCAGGCTGCGTGGGCTGTCACCAGGGAACTACAGCGTGAGAGTCCGGGCTACCTCCCTGGCAGGCAATGGCTCCTGGACTGAAGCCACCTATTTCTATGTTACAGACTATTGTAAGTCTCTGCGGCAACCTCGAGTGGTTGGGTCTGTGCTTGTTGCTCATCATGGTAGGACATCACAGAGAACGTCTCTAGCAAGCTATGGGTACTGGCCCTGCCTGGTCTTGACCTTTGGGCTCACTGGCTCCTGCTATGTGACCAGGGCAAGATGTTTGCTCTCTCTGAGCTTACACTTTCTAATCTGTTCATAGAGATAGTAACAGGACCCACTTCAGGAGGTAGAAAGCGGTTTTAGCGATACAAACATGAAGTGACTGCTACGGAGCCCCTCTGATGAACGTGGGAGTTCCTGTTGGTATCTGCATCTTCGGATCATGTCCTCCCTGTGAGGAGGTAGAAGCACACCTTGGGTGTACCAAAGCATGCTGAGCATGAAGTATTCTTGACATGTAGGCAGCAGGTGTTGACATTGGGCAAGTCAGGTGCCCTGTAGAGAGTAGTTGGGGAGAAGTACAGAAGGCTAAACACTCAAAGAGCCAGGTTAAGACTTCAGTTGTTCAGTACCCATTTTTTTTTCCCCCTTGGCTTTGGAATGCCCAAGCACGTGGATATGTTTACACAGTCATGTGTCCCATGCCAATGTTTTGGTCAACAACAGACTGTATAGACGATGGTGGAGCAATGGGCTATTCCATATCGCCGACACCAACTAGGTTTGTGTAAATACACTACGTGTTGTTCGCAGAGACATGAACCTCACGATACATTTCTCAGGATGCATCCCCACCAATATGCGATGCACGACTACAAGTAAAGATGACTTGAACTTGAAGTTTGAAAAAGAAAAGGGCCATGAAACATTCCTCCAGCCAGCTTAAAAAAGTTTTTTTTGGAGGAAATGCATTTTCCCTGATTGAGCCTGCTATTCTTCTTGGCAACTAGATACTCGCACAGTTCGGTGAAGAGAGGCAGGACCCCCTGACACCTCAGAGCACATTTGCCAAAGGTGATGTTGGGTTTAGGACTGGCTATGAGGGCACTTCAAGTTCCTGAGGAAATGGAATGAAAGTAGGAGCGATTTTAGTACAAAATTTTTTTTAAATCCATGCATTTTTTCCCCCGAAAATATGCATTTTCCATGGACTTTTTGAAAACCTTTTGCATGTAATCTGGAGAGTCCAGTGCAAACTGAGAATATAGAGCTCTTTGCTTAAAAATTAGCAAAAATTGGGGCCAGCAGGTGGCGTGGTGGTTAAGGGACTGGACTCCTACAGAGCTGACCATGATTCGAGTCCTAGACTGGGAGGCTTGTTTTCCCACTTTCTCTCTCTCTGTCTGTGATGAATTAAAAATAAATAAATAAAATAAGTAATGAAAAAAATGATCAAAAACTGGACCAACAGGTGGTGTGGAGGGTAAGGGTGGTTGGATCCCACATGGCTGACTTCATGGTTAGAATTCCAAAGATGGAGGGTTGAAACACATTCTGGGTGCATGTGCATGCATTCCCCAAATCCCAAGAATCAAATGGAGCATACTTGGTCTATCACAAAAATCTTAAATATTATATATATATATATGTATGTATATATAATGTTAAATATTATATTATATTGTCAAGAATCTGAAGTGACAATAGCAGAACATTAAACCAAATGCAAGGCCGTTCTGAGCATGAAAGGCCTTTCTGACTGCCTGGATTGCGCACCTGTGAAGCCAGTCCTGGGTGGGGCCATGAGACAGCGGCCATGGGCAGTGGTCTGGGGGCAACAGTGTGCTCCCAGAATGAAGTCCGCTGAGCTCACCAGCTGGCCCCATTGAGCTGAATGATATTTCAGGACCACTGGGAAATAATGATCCAGGAGACTAGTCAGGAGAGGCTCAGGGACCAGAGAAGGGAAGACAAGTGCGGTTCACCATTCCTGGCGTGGATGTGATTTGGGGGCTGAATTTTGATGCAAACACATCTTGATGTGCAACATATATTTTCTTATTCTATTTCAGTAGACGTCCCATCAAATATTGCCAAAATTATCATTGGCCCCCTCATCTTTGTCTTCCTCTTCAGTGTTGTGATTGGAAGTATTTATCTATTCCTGAGAAAGAGGTAAGGGTGGCGGGCGGTGTGGTGGTGAATGGTTAACAACTGGTGTTCTGGAAAAACAACACACCCAGATACGGGCAGAGGAATATCCAAGCTTATCACATAGTTTCCAATCCGGGACGTGTAACACGTAATTCACAGATAATAACCGTACTGTCATTTAGAGGACTCTTTATTGTACATTTCCTCTAGCCAGTTGATTCTTAGTAAATACTTTCATTTCTTAGTTTGCCCCAACTTTTCTATCAGTAGCCAGCCTATGGTTGTAATGGACAAACGAGTATAGTTCCAACACAACGTTGATTGATATTTTAGTTCATATTAAAAAGTAACCCAAAAATAGGGGCCAGCAGGTGGTGTGGTGGTTAAAGAGCACTGAACTCCCACATGACTGATCGTGGTTTGAGTCCTGGGCCTGGCAGATTCCTTTCTCTCTCTCCCTCTCTGTGTGTGTCTCTCTCTCTTTCTCTCCTTCACTCTTCCCCTCTCTGGTCAAAATAAAATAACTAACTAAATAAAGTCAAATAAAATCTTTAAAAAGAGTAAGACAAAAAATGAAATAAAATATGTATGGTCATCAATGCTATGAGCACCTTCTCTGCTGAATCAGATAATTGTTGAATACCAGCCGAACATGTTTTTATTTCTTTTTCTATTTTTGTGCCATTTGCAATGTCATGACTATAGAATGACACTTTTTTTTTTTTTTCTAGAGCACATTCACTTACTGAAGAGGGATAGAGAAAGAGAGAGAGGGGGAGAGAGAAATCACCTTTTAGGGGGATGGTTACACTACAATCCTTTCTCCTCCATTCTTTTCTCAGGACTTTGGGCACACATGCAGATGTTCTCAGCATGTTTTTCAAGCTGCTGGGTCTGAGACCCAACCACACAGTCAAATCATGTAGGATCCAGCTATCGTAATCATTATGCCACTTGCTGGCCCAATATGACATATTTTTATGTTTAATCTTCATTAATAATATTTCTCCCATCACTTTCTTTCAAGCCTGGACTAACAGAATAATAAATCCAATCCTGATTCGTAATGTTTGCCTATTTCTGTGGTGTCAATATTGCCGCCATGGTCAATTTCAAGCTATAGACATAATGTCCCTGAGGACAGAGTTGGGAAGAGATGCATAAAAGCTTACCATTTAATATTCACCATATGAGTACAATAATGCATTGGGTCATTGGAAAAGTCATAATGCATTTTTGCATAGGAAAACAGAAAACTGCATCATGACTTTTCCAATAACCCAATAAATAAATGAGATATTATAACTACAGAACACTGATCATTGTAAAAATAGAGAATTAGAATGTGATGACTTGAGTATGTATTACCTGTGCTTTTAATTTAATTTATTCAATAGTAAACCTCTATCATTTAATTTTTAAGGTCTATTGACTTATATCTTCCATGACAGAGTAAGAAAGAGACAGGTGGGGCTGGCAGGTGGCGTGGTGGTTAAAGGGTGCTGGACTCCCACATGGCCGACTACAGTTCGAGTCCCGAACCTGGTGGCTTGCTTTCTCACTTTCCTTCTCTCTCTCTGTCTTTCTCTTTCTACTGAATGTATGTATACTATAGCAAACAAAATAATAATAATAAAATTAAATAATAATTTTTTAAAAAAGGGACAGGCACCTTCTATAGGGCCCCGTGGCTACAGCCACCCTCAATGTCAGCCAACCTTGATCATGGATATACCAAAGTATGCCCAGGGATGTCCTGGGTCCAAAACCCGGGACCTTCCTACATGGGTCCAGTTAACACTGTGCTACGGCCTAGCTTCTATAATTTAATTTTTAATGATAGTCATATTTAACAACTGGCTTTCCAAATTCCTGAAATTTTTTTTTTTTAAGAAATGTTATTAAAAAAAAAAAAAGTTTGGGACCAGCAGTTAGCGTAATGGCTATGTCACTGGACTTCCATGTAGTTGACTGCAGTTCGCATCCCGGACCCAGTGACTTAAACTCATGCCGGGCGCGTGTGCATGCGTGCCTAAGATCCCGAGAGGAGAATGGAGGAGAAGGGATTGTGGCGTGGCCATCCCCCCTGGGGGGTGATTTCTCACTTTCTATCTCTCTGTCTCTCCCTGTCTGTCTGGCGAGAGCACGCACCCTATAGCAAAAATCTCTCCAAAAAAAAAGTTATTTAATTTTATTATTATTATTATTATTGAGAGATTTTTTGCTATAGGGCATGTGTGCTTGCTGTAGAGACAGAGAGAGAAAGTGAGAAATTCCCGCACAGGGGGATGGCCATGCTGCAGCCCCTTCTCTTCCATTCTCCTCTTAGGATTTTGTGCACACACATACATGCATGTGGTGTGTTTCAAGCTGCTGGGTCTAGGACTCGAACCGCTGGTCATTGGGGAGTCCAGAACCTTAACCACTACACCACTGCTGGCCCCAATTATTATATTTTTATTTGCTAGAGGGCATGGGTGTTCGCCAGAGAGAGACAGAGAGAAAGTGAGAAAGCAAGCCACCGGGTTCAGGACTCGAACTGTGATTGGTCACGTAGGAATCCAGCTCTTTAACCACCATGCCACCTGCTGGTCCCATTCCCTAAAAACCGAACAGTTGTTTCTTGCCAGCCAGGATGAGTTGGCTGTACAACTGAGTAAGCAGCTTTTTAAGTGTCACACATAAAACTGTAAATAATAATAAAGCCACCCAGGGAGCGGTGAGCGTTCTCGTGTGGACGCACGTAAGTGGCCACTCGACCTCCCACACCTCACATACGGGTCCCCACCTGCACCCTAGACTGTATCCAGGAAGATGTGGGTGCCGCCCATGTAATTACCACATGTGTGCGGAGGCTTTTGTCCTCTTTTCGGGGGCCCACAGAGTCCCATGAGAGTCTCAAGCCAGCATGCCCCCTGTTTGTCCTCCAGGCAGCCGGACGGGCCGCTGGGGCCGCTGTACGCGTCTTCAAACCCCGAGTACCTCAGCGCCAGTGATGGTGGGTACCAGCTCCTTTCCTGCGGGTGCCCGCGACCCCGCTTTCACTATCGCCACCAAGCACAGGGGAGGGCAATGCCCCGGGGAGGCCGAGGACAGCCCTCTTGCTCATATGAGCCAGCTTGTCCTGCTGCAGAAGCCCCGTTACTGGGAGCAGTCGGACACCTGCTATTTGGCACCCATTTGGGTGGGCTGATTTAGCCAGCTGGGCCCCTGGGGCCGGGATGACAGGTTGAGAATCTGTGCCACAGCTGTAGTTAATGGAGCCATGTCCAAACTTGCTGTCCAAGCCAGGAGGGGGGAATGAGAAGCCAATACGGGCGAGCGGGGGAAGACAAGTGGAGTCAGATGGGGCGGGTGGTAGGGCCATTGTTGTTGGGTTTTGCTCCGTAAGAATGACAGCCTGGCCTGTGCTCAGCCAGGCCCTGGATCATCGGGAATGTCGGGGGGGGGGTAGGCTCCTAGTGGGAGGTGGCTAGGCACGCCCAAGGATCGGCCGAGGGTGCTGTGTAGATAAGTGAGAAGTAGTATTTCCTTGTTCTGTGTACGTGCCCGACGAGTGGGAGGTGCCTCGAGAGAAGATCACCCTCCTGCGAGAGCTGGGGCAAGGCTCCTTCGGCATGGTGTACGAGGGCAACGCCAGGGACATTGTCAAGGGCGAGGCGGAGACCCGTGTGGCGGTGAAGACGGTCAACGAGTCAGCCAGTCTCCGCGAGCGGATCGAGTTCCTCAACGAGGCGTCGGTCATGAAGGGGTTCACCTGCCACCACGTGGTGAGTCTGGTCGGGAGGGGAGGAGAGCTTGCTTTCACTTCTCTTTCCTCACTCCACCTCTTCCTACCGCACCGAATGACAGAGGACCCTGGATGCAGACCCCTGTCCTCTCACGCCCCGCTAAGTCTCCCATCCTAATGCTGTGGGGAGGTGGTCCCTTCCTTCTCCCATTCCATTCTTTTTAAAATATTGTATTTATTATTTTAGTTTGCTATAGAGCATGTGCACTCATGAGGAAAAAAAAAAAAACAGGAAGCAAACCACCAGGTTTGGGGCTCAAACTGCAGTCGGCCATATGGGAATCCAGCACCTCAATCACCGTGCCACCTGCTGGCCTCTTCCAATCCCATTCTATCCCCTCTTGCCTGAGACCACACTCTATTGCTATCCTATTGCTTTCTGGAATCTTCCATTGGTTTTTGGAATCTTTCATTGTTTGCGTACTCTTCCGTGGTTTTCTGGAATCTTCCATGTCTTCCCATTTCCCTGCCCTCATTCCTTCCCCTTTACCTCCAAAGCCAGCACAAACTCTTCCTGCCTTTCTGCTCCCACCATGAACCTTTTGTTTTTCTTTGGGCCCCGAATCCTTTCATCCTTACACGTCTATTATGGGCACCTAAAATCTGTTCTTCTCCTTTTGAGAAGATTCCTGACCTTGTGGAGCTTGCAGGTGGAGAAGGACTCCAGACCTGATACATTTATTATGTTGAATGTCAGGAGAAAATGCTACTGAAAAATGAAGAGGAGAGGCAACATGAGGAAAAAAAAAAAAACAGGAAGCAAACCACCAGGTTTGGGGCTCAAACTGCAGTCGGCCATATGGGAATCCAGCACCTCAATCACCGTGCCACCTGCTGGCCTCTTCCAATCCCATTCTATCCCCTCTTGCCTGAGACCACACTCTATTGCTATCCTATTGCTTTCTGGAATCTTCCATTGGTTTTTGGAATCTTTCATTGTTTGCGTACTCTTCCGTGGTTTTCTGGAATCTTCCATGTCTTCCCATTTCCCTGCCCTCATTCCTTCCCCTTTACCTCCAAAGCCAGCACAAACTCTTCCTGCCTTTCTGCTCCCACCATGAACCTTTTGTTTTTCTTTGGGCCCCGAATCCTTTCATCCTTACACGTCTATTATGGGCACCTAAAATCTGTTCTTCTCCTTTTGAGAAGATTCCTGACCTTGTGGAGCTTGCAGGTGGAGAAGGACTCCAGACCTGATACATTTATTATGTTGAATGTCAGGAGAAAATGCTACTGAAAAATGAAGAGGAGAGGCAAGGAGGGTTGGAAGGTGTATTTGAGCAGGCTCGAAGGACGTGAGGGACAGAGCTGTGTGGACACAGGAGGGAGCAGAGAGTCAGGCAGAGGGAACAGCTAATGCAAAGGCCTGGAGGTAGGAAGGCGTCTCTGGGGTCATGGACATGGAGCGGGCTGGATTTGCTTTAGATTGTTGCTGTAGGTGGGCCGGTCTCTTTGTTCCCTCAGACTGGGAACCACACTTTATCTACACAGTGTGATGTGTGTGGTGTAGACACAAGGAGATCGCCACGAGTTGCAATTGTCTTATGGATCCTCATCCAAGAACCTCTGTGCTTTCTTTGCAGGTCCGCCTCCTGGGGGTGGTGTCCAGGGGCCAGCCGACACTGGTAGTGATGGAGCTGATGGCTCACGGAGACCTGAAGAGCTATCTCCGTTCTCTGCGGCCTGAAGCTGAGGTGAGCTGCCTCTAGATAGCTGGCAGGGCACCTGCTCCCAACCGCGGGTACCAGAGTCTCTGAACATAGCCCCATGTTTCAATTTCAGAATAACCCGGGTCGTCCTCCCCCTACCCTGCAAGAGATGATCCAGATGGCAGCAGAGATTGCGGATGGGATGGCATACTTGAATGCCAAGAAGTTTGTGCACCGGGACCTGGCAGCTCGAAACTGCATGGTTGCCCACGATTTTACCGTCAAAATTGGAGGTTCGTTTCTCTCTGCTTTGAAATGTACAGCTCAGGCCATGTTTGATTTCAGAAGGGAAATGTTGTATCAAGAGTTACTCTTTTTGGGTAGTGTAAAGGGGTAGAATTAGGGATGGAGACTAGATTCTGTGATTGAAATTTAATTGCATTCATTGTTTCACTCATTTACCTCGTCTTTTTTTTTTTTTAGAATTAGTGAATTTCATTTATTATTACTTTTATTATTTTTTCATTTGATATAGGACATGTGCCCTCACCAGAGGGAGACAGAGAGAGAGAGAGAGAGAGAGAGCGAGCAAGCAAGCAAAAGTGAGAAAGCAAATCACCAGGTCCAGGATTCAAACCATGGTTAGCCATGTGGAAGTCCAGTGCCTTAGCCACCATGCTATCTGCTGGCCTCACGTCTTCCCTTCTAAAGAAAAGACAAGTGTCTACTGTGTAGGGCTAGCTACAGATGTAACCTTGAATTGATCACTATGGTTGCTACGCTGTTGCACAGCTTCCACTCTGAATCTGCACCATCCAGCACGTGATAGTCACGTGTGACCATTTACATCAGAATTAATTTTAGTTAAGTGAAAGTAAAAATTCTGTCCACCCAGTTGCACCAGCCACATTTGAGGTGTTCAACAGTCACCTGAGCCTGGTGGCTACCATATTGGACAGTCTAGATATAGACCATGTCCATAATCTAGAAACTTCTGTTGGCGAGTGCTGTTCTATCTAGATAACAAACAGAACAGTTAACACTTCTATGAACACATTAATGAGGGCAGAGCAGAGAGCGCTGGGGAAGTAAAGAGCTCCATGATAGAGAAAAACCAGGGGGAGAGGCCAGCTTCAGGGAAGGTGTCTCCGGAAAGAGGCAACATTCCAGCCAAGACTGGTAGGATTAGAAGTTGACTTCAGTGAGAGCACCCATGGGGAAGACAAGGCACATGTAAAATCCCTGAGGCTGGAAGGATGCCTGATGTTTTGTGAATAAAATAAACAGAGATGTCCAGAACAGCATGAGATGTGAGACTGAGGAGAGAGGCAGAAACCAGACCCAGAAGGGCCTCACAAGTCATGCCAAGTGATCTTGACATTATCCTGCATAGCTGGTAGGAAGCAGGGAGGGACATAGATCCCATATGTCCAAAAGACATTAACCTACATTGGAAATGGGAAGCAGGAAGTGATGAGGAAAGTGGGCTGTCAGGGCCAGGGTCAGGGTGAGAGGAAGATTCTATAGTTGAGTAGGTGGAGCCAGGGCAGTATAGGGGAACAGACAAAATAGAGAGTAGCATGGAAGGAGAGCGGGCAGGACTGACTGTTCTTTGGATGTGGACTGGGAGGAAAGGGGATGGCCAAAGTTGGGTTTTTAGCTGGATGGATGGTGGGGCCATCTTCCATGGGGAACAGTAGGTAGGTTGGCTGGAGAAAGTCAAAGATTCTCTCAGGGATACTTGTGAGGGTACAGGTGGGAAGGAAATGTTACTGAGAATGGGATACCCATTCTACAGGCCAGAATGTAGCTTTGTCAATTGGTGCCTCCTTTCCCTTCCCTTTAAATGGTAGCCCATCCGCTCCTTCTACATCCTTATGAATACCCGTAGAATCCATTTCCACTGGATTCAGCCACCACCTAGGTGATCTCTCACCTGGGGCAGAGCTCTAAGGATTCTGCAAAGGGTGGAACAGTCAAGAGGGAAGATGCTACAGCCACAGGCTGAGGGGTTAAGAGCACATGAACTGTCTGTTGGCAGACTTTGGAATGACCAGAGACATCTATGAAACGGATTACTACCGGAAAGGGGGCAAGGGTCTGCTCCCTGTGCGGTGGATGGCACCAGAATCCCTGAAGGATGGGGTCTTCACTACTTCTTCTGACATGTGGTGAGTTGTGTGTGGATGGGCTTGAATTCCAGGTGCCCCCTAGTGTGACCAGCAAGAGGGGGTGAAGGAAGCCTGTTTTCCTCAAGGGCTCTCCACCAACAAAAGGAAGGCAAGGACCATTGCATGGCACTACCCTCATCTAACAGTTTATACCAACCTTAGAGCCAGTCACAACCTGTAGCCTAAATTGTTTAACTAGCTGACCAACTACATTCTAGGCAAAAAGAGGGGTGCATGTTTGTGTGTGTTCTTTGGTTTCTTTCTTACTACTCTTTATTGTCATTGGCAGGTCCTTTGGTGTGGTCCTTTGGGAGATCACCAGCTTGGCCGAACAGCCTTACCAGGGGCTGTCTAATGAGCAGGTGTTGAAATTTGTCATGGATGGAGGGTATCTGGATCAACCCGACAATTGTCCAGAGAGAGTGTAAGTGTAGAAAGGGTGTGCCATATATGATATTAAATAGACATTGCTCTTTAAAGATGTGCTCGTATTTGCATATCATATCTTGAGATGCATGCTAGTGTTTGTGTATCACAGCTTTGCAGGCACACATATATTTGCACGTATGTCTATGTGTGTGCTTGTGTTTCCATATAATACCTTTATTACATATGTGCCTGTGTTTGCATATAATATCTTTACATGTGTGCTTGCGTTTGCATATTTTTGTAAGACACTGGTATTTGCATGTGATAGCTTTATATGCATGCTTGTGTTTCCATGTTATATACCTATATTTGCATATCATCTTCACCTATGCGCTTGTGTTTGCATATTGTATCATTACATGCATTTTTTTAAGGTTTTTGCTATAGGGCGGGTACACTTGCCAGAGAGACAGAGACAGGGAGAAGGAAAGTGAGAAACTACTCCCCAGCAAGAATGGCCATGCTGCAACACCTTCTCCTCCATTCACCCCCTGGGATTTTGGGCACACACGCACACGTGACCAGCATAAATTTCAAGCTGCTGGAGCCAGGACTCAAGCCATGGTCAACCATGTGGGAGTCCAGTGCCTTAACCACCATACCACCTGCTGGTCCCATTGCATGCATTCTTATGTTCCCATATTCTATGTCTTACACACGTGCTGATATTTACATGCATGCAGCAGTAGTTACCTTGGGAGAAGGGAACTGGTGTGAGAGAGAGACTTAGGTTTAATGGTTTATTCTTCATACACTAAAATTTTTTCAGACATGTGTATTATGTGTCCCCCCAAAATATTTTTGTTCAAAATTTTTATTATGGGATCCAAAGGACAACACGCACACAAGCCACTGAACATTTGGAGAATCATCTAGACTCATTAATGGTCTAATAATTATAGAATGAATAAAATACCTTCCTCCAAAAAAGGAATAGGAAAGAATGGGGGGGAGGAAAGAAGGAAGAAGTTTTATTTTTTTAAGTGTCAGAGAGTGCATGTATTTGTTAGAGAGAGACAAGAGACAGACAGAGAGGGGGTGGTAGAGGGAGAGAACACTGCCCAATGGGTTGTGGTCATGCCTCAATCCCTTCTCTCCCATCTCTCTGTCCTGTCAATTCTGGGCATGTGTGCATATGTGCTGGCATTTTATTTTTATTTTTCAATTTGCCAGAGGGTGTGTGCACTTGCCAGAGAGAGACAAAGACATAAAGAGAGGGAAAATGAGAAAGCACCTTGCCCTGAGGAATGGTGATGCCACAATCCCTTCTCCTCCACCTCCCCCTGCTTTTGGGATTTGGGGCATGCACGCACACACCCTCTGGCATGCTTCTCAAGCCACTGGATATGGCACTTGAAGCACACAGTTAGCCATGTGGGATCCAGCTCAGGTAAATACCAGACCATGGGCTGGTCCCCTAGCATGGTTTGCAAGCCTCCAGGGCTGGGATCAAACCATGGCCATCTTCCAGCGCTCCAAGAACCTCTGTGCATGGATCATTGCCAGCTCACCTGGCCACCATCTGTTGTGAGCACTTGTCTGCGGGTGTCAGCTGGAGGGGCTAGGGGGGAGGGCAGCCGGGCTGGATCCCCAGACTCACCCACAATGTGTCCCCCATCCCCACAGCACTGACCTGATGCGCATGTGCTGGCAGTTCAACCCCAAAATGCGACCGACCTTCCTGGAGATTGTCAACCTGCTCAAGGACGACCTGCACCCCAGCTTTCCAGAAGTTTCCTTCTTCCACAGTGATGAGAACAAGGCTCCTGAGAGCGAGGAGCTAGAGATGGAATTTGAGGACATGGAAAGCGTCCCCCTGGACCAGTCCTCACACTGTCAGAGGGAGGAGGTGGGGGGCCGGGATGGCGGGTCCTCACTGGGCCTCAAGCGGAACTATGAAGAGCATATCCCCTACACCCACATGAATGGAGGCAAGAAAAATGGACGGATTCTGACCCTGCCTCGGTCGAATCCTTCCTAACAGTGCCTGCGTGGGGAAGGAGTCCCTGCCTTCACTTTCCTCTGTGTTTTTTTCAAGCCTCCGGAAAACTCAGGATTCTCATACTTTACCACAATGTCCAACGGAGCTCAGAGATTGTTCCCACACATTTCTGTTCATCGATGACTTCAAACACACTTCTATGATTGCCAATTTGACTGGTTGTCAGAGGATTTAACTGTGAACCTAGAGGGGAAGGGTTGTTTTTTTTTTTTTTTTCCCCCCCGCTGCTGCCCTTTTGGAAACCACGGTTTCAAACCAGGATATTCTTTTATTATTAATATTATTATTATTTTGCTTTTGTAGTAGATTGAAAGAAATCACCTGTTTTTACAAGGTGTTATTTTTTTTTCCTCTTTTCTTCTTCTTCTTTTTTTTTTTTTTTGCTGGTGTCTGAGCTACGGTATAAAACCTGAAACTTGTTTGTGGAACAATAGTCTGAAAGAAAGAAAAAAAGACACCCTGGAAGAATTCAGGAGAATTCCAAATTCTGTAGGGTGGGCTTCAAGGTTTTTCTCATCCAGGCTGAAGGATTTTTTTTTTTTTCTTCTTCTTCTTCACAAAATCAGTTCCTCAAATTGACCAATAGCTGCTGCTTTTATACTTCCCATAGGGGTCTGCAGTCCCAGTGTGTGTTCACGTGTGTACATGTGTATGTGTGTCAAGGTTAGACGCAACTGGTGTGTGTGTGTGTGCGCGTGAAGTATTCATGCTAGGTTCATACTTTGGGAATCGGCTCATGAAATTTCTGCTCTTCTCAAGTGTCCCAGCTCATGTCTCCTTTCTTTCCTTCTTATTTACTGGGAGACTGTGCCCATTACAGTTTTCTTGTGTCATGAATTTAGCCTCAGGTTGTCTTCTCTCCCTTCACTTTGGTGAAAACATGTTTTCTGGGAGCCAAGAGGGGAGTTTTTAGTTTGGAGTGATCATGGATCTTTTCAAGACCAAACAGAGCCAGGACAAAAAAAAAAAAAAAGGAAAAAAGTGTAAAAAAAAAAAAAACTGACATGACAGAGTTTTGAGAATATATTTGTAACATATTTAATTTCTAAAAAAAAGAAAAAAAGAAAAAAACCCCAAAACTCTGGTATTAGCCTCATAAGTTATTGACTATTTCCCGAGGAAAGGGAGTTGTGGGTTGATCTGCCTGTGTAGGTTGGGAAATGAGGCACAAGTGGCCTCTTTGGTCTTAAAGTCATCCATAGTCTGGGAATTAAGCCACGTTAGCTGCTAATCCTTTGGACATTGCGAGGCCACGTTGAGTGTGTGGGCAACTGAGTTTTATAGATGGTCTGGTTCAGATACCAAGGTCTTCTACAAATCTCCTTTTTGGATAAGCTGGTAGCAACCTAGAACTGAGCCCATCTTCAAGAACATCTGTGTTCATCCTTTGGTTCTGGATGTGTATCTCAGGAGGTATTTCCTTGCCTGGGCATGTCCTGCAGTTATTGTGCAAATGCAACCAAATCAGATCCCAAAGAGCAACACCATGGATGGTCTCTGAGAACACTAAAGCAATATCAAGGGAGATGCTCTGAGAATACCTTTCAGTCCCCGCCACCCTTGGAGCATCCGACTAGCCTCAGTCTTGAACTCCCAAAAGCTGCTCTGTGCCCAGTGATCTTAGCTGGCCACGTGTGGTGCCTGAACAGAAGTCTCAGGTGCTCACGATGTTGCAATCTCTAAGAGAGGCTGGAGGAGAAACTGTTAAAGACCTTCACAGCACAAGGAATTTTCAAATGGGCCTGAATTCACAGTATCTTCTCTACTAAAAGAACCACAGCTGCTCCGATAAAGAACAGGTGGAACTCACTTCTTTGGTTCTTCAAAATCATCACCCATGGGTTCCTCCAAGTGCATTTTCTCACAAGTTTTTGATTGCTTCTTTCTTTTCTTAAGAGTTGTGGGCTTAAGGATGAGATAAAGATGTAATGGCAATCCCTGAGCCTTCTTAATTCTTGATGCAGGACACAGGTAGACACAAATCCCAATGGTCTGTTGCTATCTTATTTATATAATTTGAGAAATTACAGCATGTAAAATATTTCTGGACAGCCTCAGTAATTGGGTACAAGAAGCAAGAATATAGAAATTATTTTTGCCAAATTAATTTTGTACATAGAAGTTCTGTACGTAAATTAAACAAAACTTAGATCTAGGTATTTTGTTCTTTTCCTAGTAAATTTGTAGTGGTCATATACTACAATAGCAGCAATTTTCACATTTTTCTAATTCAGAAAGGTTTTCTTATATTAGGGGGAAAAGTATTTATTTTAATATATAAAATCCTTCTAAAATCACTTTTGTAAAAAATGGAGTGCATGTAAATTTTTATCAAAGAAAAATAAACAGGTGAATGTGGGATAATCTTTTTTTTTTTTTTCCAGCACAGTCTACCTCAGTGTATTGTTAGGATGTGGTTCAATAATGGACATTTTTGAGACCTCAGAATTCTACCGGGATCCAGGCTGAATCAAGGAAAATGTGTACTGGCTGATTTTGAATGCCAAGAACAGTAAGAATTTTGAGGGAGGGAGTTGGAATGGAGACAGTGTGGCCCTTCATTGTGAACATAGATTATTTTCTCCTGGCTGGTAATAGTCTTCTCTACCTAATCTTTCTTCTTAAAAAAAAATTCCTGTATCTGTTGACATCAAGCTCCCGAACCATAAATCAAGTACTAGGCCAGTGTTAGATATCTAACCTCCTTTGGTGACAGGTAGGTGTCCCACTGGGGCAATGACAGGCTTTGGTTCAGAGCCAGGATCCCTATTGCCCTGGGCTCTCTGATGATTTATTTCTGTCCCATTTAGGTTGATGGTGTTCTTTGAGGACAGAATGAATCGTCTTCATGGGACATCTCATGCACAAACACTAAATGCAATGTCTCCTTTTATTTTCTGATTAGGAAGTGAGGCAATCACCTAGCATTGGGAAATCCTAATCCAGACCCCACCAGAGTGCTGAGCACTATTTTTAGCAGCAAAATGTTGGACTCTTGTGTTGAGGTTGGGATAACCTCAAGCCGATACTATTTGGCCTTGTGTGGCTTCGAGAACTCATGTGAAAGTCTAGGCAGGGCCAGTAGAGCTGTTGTCATATTCACCAATCCTTGTTGCTCTTGTTGGCACTACCCTTGCAAACTCACCCTTCTCCCCCTGACTTGGAGACTCCAAGTCAGAGTGCTGGACTTGCCATATACAAATGGGATTTCACCAATTTCATTGAGGTGTTTTTACTGCCGTGATGAAAAGAGTAAGCAGCTGTTGGTTTGCCATCCTCCTTTGGCATCAGAAAAATGTTGACTATATAATAGTAGAACGTTGGTCCTCTAAAGCCATAAGGGTCCTAGGAGTTTGTGTGATGGGTTCCAATAAAGCAACGAAACTGGCTGAGGTGGACACTTTTTGTTGGTTGTTTTTAAAGATGTCTTACTACTATTAAAACCTTTTTAAAAATGATTATTACTGTGGTGAAGTCCACCCAGTAGTTTTTTCTTCCCAGAGAAGAGTATCAAACACATCACTTTCTTCCTGGATCAGTGATGTCAAACACAAACACATCATTTTCTCCCTGGATCAGTGATGTCAAACACCCATCAGGAAATGTTTGTGTCTGGGAACTGTCCTGGGTGTTGCCGTCATTTGAAGCTAGTAGAAAGGGGAAGAACGTTTGCTTCTCTGGATACAGGCTGAGCACAATTGAGAAGAAATGTGGGAATTGATGCATGGGTCTGTGACTGCTGGGGACTATGCCGCTAACTAATGGAGAGATCTTCCACTAAATCCCAATGGGACTGATGGTCCACCATGAAACATAGTTACTGGGTTTGGAAATGTTTATTTGAAGTCATTGTAACACTGTTCAATAGGCCTGTGCTGACCACCCTGGTAAGTGAATAAATGTGATATAGTTCCAACAATTATTTTTCTATCAATAGTTCATGGTGGGTATAAATTCGGGGTTAAATGACTTTTGGATGTCACCTTGCACCTTCAGGTCTTCGGAAATTATGGTTCTCTTGGGGGTGGGGAATGAGGAATGCTGGTTGTATATAAATGGTGCATGTAGAGTGGTGTTACTTCAGGATATCTTCCAGAATGTTCTTCGGAATATTAATTTACACCAGAGGTGAGGTTGCAGGTAGAAAGGAAAGATTGGTGCTTGTTCTTTGAAACACATAAAAGAATGCGATGGATTTTCAGGGCTGCAACTAAAAGCCAATGATTCCTTAGAGACCTACAAGAAACAGAGAAACAATGTGTTTTTGAGATCACTGTCATTGTCTGATCATAGTCAAGGTCCAGAACCAGCCTCCAACTCGGTTTTCACCAGAGTGTGGGCCATACAAATCCTTGTAAAAAACTAGATCATGAATCTGGGGCTCTTGGTCCCACTGAGAAGGGAGGAATAGTCCCAAAGTGAGTGCGTTCATGCACAAATTCAGGAATGGCTTGTTTAGTCTTTATACTTTGCGTCAAAGTTGCTGCTCCTTGCTCGTTTGTGTGCCTGTGTGGCCTCAACCTTGCGTTGTCAGCAGCGCAGGATCAAACGTGCCACCGCTTTTGCAGAAAACAACTCAGAAACACAAAACCCACCAAAAGCTCAAATATTTTTTCAATGTTTTTCTACAAGAGCCAAGTAGCACCATGTACAGAATTTGTTTTTTTTTTTTTTTTTTTTGTGGGTGGGGGAAGGAAGGGTATTGAAATCATTCTGCATGTAAAATATGGGATAATTACTTGTTTATATTAAAATTCTGAATAAATTATCTGAGAATATTATTTTCTTAAAAGTGTATTTATTTCTTCTTCAAGAGACAGACAGTAACAGAAATAGTTACTGCTACTGCCCTATTACCCAAATTCAGTCACATGGCCAAGCCCATACTCAGCATGGGAGAGGACCACCCAAGGGTGTGGCTACAGGGAGATGTAAATCAGCTGGGGAGCCAATCCGACAACCATCTCCCATGCTTCTCACTTTACCCTTCTATTATTGGAGATGATAGACCTTACTTTATATGACCACAGTGAGGATTAAATGAGGTGACATTGGTCCTCCCCACACCCACAAACTCTTCATCTTGCAACTATCTCCCTCACTTCTCAGTTTATTCTTCTGTTGAGGGAACACTGGTCCTCCATCTTTTTTTCCAGGATGTCCTACTGTTCTTTCTTTCCATTTTTCCTGTGTGTGCTTTCTCCGTGGTCAGCTGTTCTGGATGTTTCCATTTGTGTTTCTGTTTTATTTTTTTCCCCCTTCCTCTCACCCCCTCTACCTTCCATGGCTCACTCTCTTTGTCTTTCTTTTTTTGAGAGTGATTTTTTGCTATAGAGACAGACAAACAGGAAGGGAGAAATCACCTCCCAGAGGGATGGCCATACCACAATCCCTTCTCCTCTGTTCTCTTGGGATTTTGGGCATGCATGTACATGCACCTGGCATGAGTTTTAAGCCACTGGGTCCAGGACTCAAACCGCGGTTGACTACATGGGAGTCCAGCAATATAATCACTAAGCCATCTGCTGGTCCCTCTTTGTCTCTTTCATACTTTATTTTCCCATCTCCTTACCCCATCTTTTTGTCTTGTCTATGTGGCACTTTCCCCATCTTTCCCTCTCTGTCTCCGTCTTTCCTCCCACTCTTGTCTCCTTTTTTTCCTTTTTATTTTGTCTTGTCTTTAATCTCTCTCCTCGGTTGCTCTCATTTCCCCAGTTTTTGATTCACTTCTCTGTTTTTCTGCATGGACCATGTGGCAAACTATGGCAGCCCTCAGGACTTGAAGGCTCCAGACAAGAGCCAGTAAGAAGCCGCTGCCGTCATTCCTACTGCCAGGAAAAGAATTCTGCCAATAACCTGGAGAAGCTTGGAGGCAGATTGTCCCCTGGTTGTCTCCACATGAATGCAGCCTGGGTCACACCTTGATGGACACTTCATGAGACCCGGAGACCTAGCTAAGTTGTGCCATGCTTCTGGTCTCCAGAAATTGTGAGATATTGTGTCTGTTAAGTCATTAAATGCACTGCACAGCAACTGAAAGCAGAAAACAACATAGTGACCTGATTGGGGGTATTGCACAGATCACATGGAGAGTGTATTTCCTAAGTGTTAACTAATATTCATCATTGGTACTGACATCACTTCCATGCTCTTGCTAAAAAAAATCTCCATCTATGCTTCTCCCTGAAAGTGACCCAATATGTAATGAGCTTTAGGTGCAAACCCTGGATGCCCCTGTCTTGGGCTGTCCCATACATATCTCTTTAAGATTGCAAAGCAAACTCTTGGATAGACTTGGGAGGCTCCAACACCAATAGTCTAGCGCCACCTTGTGCTTTCAGTCTGTTATGGCAAGTTATGTTTTCCTAGGAATTTTTTTTTCTAAATTTTACAAATTTGGGGTCTCTGGTTCAAAACAATCTCTCATTATCCTTTTCATCTTTGCAGTATGTCCAAATTTTCTCTTACTTTACAATCAAGGAAACCAATATTTCACAGCTCAAGTTCGGTATCCATCTCTGAATTATTTTCTTATGCTAATAATAGGAATGCTCATGTTGTAGGCTCTTCAATGTTCCTTATGTACAAATTATCCTCTAGTGTGATTTTCAAGTGTGTCTTAATAGATACAAGTCCCTGGAAGGATTTTTCATTTTGATAACATTAATAGAGTTCTCTCTTGGTGTGAATTGTCAAGTGACTCCCTGGAGCTGTCACTGAAAGCGTTCCTATTGCATTTTTCAGGTTTATCCTCAGTAGGTGTTTTTTTTTTTCCCACACAGTAGGGTGAGAGTTCGAGCTGAAGGCTTTATCATATAGGCTGCACTTTTAAGGTTTCTTTACAGTTGCATTAATCTGTCAGTTTTTAAATGCTACTTCATACTTATTAGACAAGTAGGATGAGGTTATGCTGAAGGCTTTTTTTAAACCGATTTTATGGCAGACTTTCCAGGTCAGCTTCTAGTGATCTATCTCCTGCTATTACTTTCTTCTGTAGTCTCCTCCTACAGTATTTCAGGATTGGTGCGTGTGACCAACACAACATGGAAAAAGTGAAAACATGTCCTTCCAAGTCTGGGTCATATAAGACAGTTTGACTTTTACATTGGCTCTTTCGGATCACTTGCTTTGGAAGGAATCTGTTAGCATAAAGTGTGGTAAGGACACAGTCTGTGGAGGGTTCTACACAGTTAGGAACTGAAGGTCCTCTGCCAACAAACAGCACTAATATACCAGGCACATGAGTGAACCATTTTGGAATTGAACTTTCAGTAAAAATTTCAGATGAATGCAGCTGACATCTGGACTGCAACTTCATGAAGACCCTGAGTCTGAACTACAGAGCTAAGCCATTCCTGACCTGCAGAAATGATTAGATAACAAAGAATTACGGGCCCGGGCCAACCCTGTGGACTGATGATTAGGGAGGTGGATCCCACGTGGTCCATTATGTGATCAAATCCAGACCCCAGTGGCTTGGAAAACACACCAGATGCAAGTGTGTACATGCCTAAAATCCTAACAAGGTCAAGAAATGAAGAAGGGATTCTGGCATGACTTTGTCCCACTGGGGGTAAGCCTTCTCTCTCTGGTGAGCACATACACCCTGTGACTTACAAAAAACAATCAATAAAAATGTTTGTTGTTTGAAGCCACAGAGTTTTCAGGGGGTAATATGTTATGCAGGAACAGGTAACTCATATGTTCTGTGTGAGTTCTCTTATGTTATCTAAGGTATGAGATATCAATGAATGCCTTTCCCACAGTTATTGCATCTATAGCTACTTATTATGCATTCTCTAATTGACATAAACTAAAGAATTAATAGTGAAAGATTTTTGACAATGCTTATATTTTTAAGGGTTTGCTGTAATGTGAGTTCTCACATGGTTCTTAACAAATGAGATAATTTGTTAAGTTTCTTTCCATCATGTATTCTCTACTTAGCCAAGGTTTTTCACTCCCTGTCTCCTTTCTTCATAACCCATTCCTTATACCGTACCATATGGCTTCCATCACTAGCATGTCAAGGACAATATCCATGGTAGGATCACCAATGAACCTTAGAACAACAGAGATGTAGATTCTAACTAACTGGTACTATTTCCTATCTGTGAGATCAATAGAGACACAGTGGATTAAACCCTTTATTAGCAAGGTTATAAGAAAAGGCATTTTTATGGAAAAGTGTGTCAGTGTCAAGTGAAGCTGCAAAAATATGTACTCTT